ACAATTCCACTCTGGGGACTGACCGAAAAGAACTGAAGGCAGAATCTTGAAGAAATGCTTATACCTGTGGTCAGAGATGTATTAGGTACGCTAGTAAAGAGGTTCGTAGACATAATAAATATGCTAATCAATAGGCTTATGAGACATGCTAATCAAGAGGCACAAGATACCCAAAAGTCCATGGTTGTATGAATAGATACAATGTGGCATGCCCATACAGTGGAATACCATTCAGTCACAAAAAGGAAGGAAATTCCAACACATGAAGCTCTAGGACATCATGCTAAGCAGCAAAAAGCCAGACACCAAAAACACAAATGCCATATGATTCCAATTACATCAGGTCACCGGGACAGTCAAATTTATGGATCTAGAACACAGGACAGCAGTTTCCAGGGACCATTATTACAGCTTACAGTGTTCCTGTAGCCTTTTTTATTTTTACATTTATTTGTTTATTTATTGCGCGTGCATGTATGTGTGCGTGTGTGGAAGTCAGAGGACAACTTGCAGGTGTGGCTTCTGCCCTTCTACCATGTGGGTCCCGGGGACTGACTTGATGTTCAGGCAGCAGCACCTTTACCCCGCGGAGCCATCTCGCTAACTCTGTGATGGTCACCCTAATGGATGTGAGATGACACCTCACTGTGGTTTCAGTTTGCATTTCTCTAATGATTAACGATGTCAAACGTCTTTTCATGTACTTGTTGGCCATTTTTATGTCTCTGGAGAAATGGTGATTTGATCTCTTTTTTATTTTAAATCAGGTGATTTGATTTTTTTTCATTGTTTCATTGTTAGAGTTCCTTGTATATTTAAACATGAGCCCTCTATCAGATACTTTTTCCCATTTCATAGATTGCCATTTAATTTTTTACATTCATTTAGTGTGTGTATATGTGTTTGTGTGTATGCAGATGCTTGCACGTGCATAGGTGTACAGTGTGCATTTGTGTGTGCATGCAACAGAAGGCAAAGGGCAGTTTGCTAGAGTCGGTTTGCTAGAGTCCTACCATGTGGGTCCCAGGAATTGAACTCAGGTCTTCAGCCTTGGTGGCAAGCCCCTTTACTCACTGAGCCATCTTGACAGCCCCCTATATTGCTTTTTTATTCTGTCGGTCATTGCAACCTTAAACAAGTTTAATATTTGGTGTGATTCTATTTATCTGTTTTCACTTTTCTGCCCTGATGTCACATCCAAGCATGTCATTGGCTAACCCCACTTAATTTAGTTTTCAATACTAGGAATTGAACCCAGGGCTGTGTGCATGCTAGGTGGGTGCTCTGCCAATCCAGCTACACCCTCAGCCCCCTATTCACTTTTAAAATTCCCTTGACTCTGTTTGCCAGTGTCTGGTTTCCTTCCCCATTCCCTCTAGGAAATAACATATTTTTTTTCTATGGTGGTGTCAGGGCATTGAGTCAGGGTCTCACTAAGTTGCCTGAAGCTATGTAGCCTGGGCTGGCCATGAACTCATAAGTCCTCTTACACCTCAGCCTCCCAAGTGCTGGGATCAATCGCAAGTCCATATACCACCACACCCAGCAGGGAGGAGCTTGTCTTGCTGTGTGCCCTGATCCCTGAATGTAAGCTATGCCTGGCCGCAGGCCTGTGGAATACTTGTTCAGTGAGTAAATGCTCCCTTGCTGGTGTCTGACAGAGTTTGATTTAGAGTCTGCACCTGACCATCTGCAGGCAGGCCTCTGGATTCTTCTGGTGGAGAGGAGGGATGGGGGCTTCCAGAGAGGACCCACTAGCCACTATTCCATAATATGGCACCTGAGAGTTTTCCACTGGAACTGGGGTTTGGGAGCCTTTGTTTGCGCCCTTCAGTTTGCTTGGGGAAAGAGTGGAACCCTCTGAGGGGGCACGAGTCTGAAGCCTTTGAAGAGATAGGGAGTGAGGAGGAGGGAGGTCCCAGTTTCATTCCATCCTGTCTACTACAATCAGAGGCAAACTTTGAGGGTCACCTGCCTCAGAGGATGAGAGCTGAGGCCATACCTGTACCTACCAATCCCCTTTCTGAATACCAGGAACAGTTCTCAGGACATTGACCAAAATCCTTGGTTTTGTCAGACTTTCGCCGGATTCCTGAAGCTTCCCCTAGATGTATCGGTGCACTTGCGAGTCAAATCTTATTTTACCAAGAAGTCACTAGCCTGCATCTGGCAAATCTGACCACATCCCTCATTCCTCACTAACCCCTGGGGCGATGTCTGACCACTGCCCTGTGTTCAACAAGAATCCTGCTCAGTCAAATTGGAGAGAAAGCAGCTCCCTCCACAGACCTGAACCCAGTCCTTGCCTGTAAACTACCCCCCTTGCTTTGTTTATAGTTAAGCTGTATCTATGTACCCCAGTCCCCGCCAACTGAAGAACCCAGGGCTGGCAAGATGGTAAAAGTACCTGCCACCAAGCCTAAAGGCTTGGGTTTGGTCCCTAGGACCCAGAATTCTCCCCAAGGTGGGAGGAGAGAACTGACTCCTGCAAGTCAGCCTCTGACCTCTACATGATTCTACCCCCCTAATACAAAATGAATAAAAAAAAAAATCCACAAATTTTCAATTTCATTACCAAGGTCAACAACGTTTTTCTTACTGAGTTTCAACAATTGATTGCTTGTTTGTTTTTTAACAATATTGAAATCTTAAAACTTTCTTCTCCTTCCTAACCCATCAGCACTCCCTAAACCCTCTTGCCCTTGGGTGGGGGGCAGAGGACTCAGCCATACGCCCCACTGCTGAGATCAGGGAAATGAGCCTTCTTCCTGGCCCTTCCTGGGGCCTCTAGCCAGCAGCTGGAGGGATTAAGGAAAAGAGGCCCCTGGCGTCCCTGAGTCTGGAGTGGCTGCCCAGGATGTCCCAGGAGGGCCGAGTGGGCCAGAGGGCTGGAGGCTCCCAAATCAATCAGAGGTCTGAAGGTCACTGAGTTCCGACCTTTGAATCAAGATCCTGGTAGCCCCCAGGCTTGTACACCCTCCGAGGGGTGGGGAAGAGCAGCAGATGGTGGAACTGAGTTCTTTTTCCAGAGAGACGCCCTTTCCCATGGTCCTCCCAAATACCTTCCAGAGGGACCCAGCACCTCTCCACACGCTCACCTCTCCTCACCCTCACATCACCAGCAAGCACAGTGCACTTGGGCTAGGAAAAGCTTCCAAATGCCCCCCAGATTGCTCTGTTTTGAAAGGCTCAAGAAGCCTCAAGTATAGAGTTTGCAAGGTAGAAAGTAGGAAGGAATGAAAATTACTCACATTTGCTTCTGAGACCCCACCATAAATATGTCAAGTAACAAGGAATGTATGGGAGGGGCAGCGCGATGGCTGAGCAGGGAAAGGCGCTTGCCTCCAAACCTGATGATCTGAGTTCGATCCCTTGAACCCAAATGGTGGATCCAGTGAATCCAATTCCCAAAACTTGTTCTCTGACCACCACACAAGGGTTGGTATGTTTGAACCCACACACATACACACATACATACACACACACAGACACACACACACACAAAGTTTTTAAGTATAGCAAAAATATATTATCATTCTATATTATAAATGTATTTTGCAGTACTAAGAATTGAACCCAGGACCTTATGCATGCTAGGCAAGTTCCTCACCACTAAGCTGTATGCCTAGCTGCTATTTTATCTCTTATGTGCAAGATTATCATATCTTATTACACATGATTACTGTATCACATACTTGATAATGTACAATAAACATAATAATAATTTATAATTTGTGGGTAACTTACTTTTGAAACTTATTTATATATTATTATGGAGGAGGTGCGCATGTGGGGGCCAGAGGACAACTTTTTGGACTCAGTTTTCTCCTTCCAAATTTATGTGGATCGCAAGAATCAAACTCAGGTCACTGGACGTGTGCAGCAAATACCTTTGTCCTCTGAGCCATGTTGCTGGCCTGGAACTTAAACTTGAGCAAGTGCTATGTCTTTTTGATATCTTTCTTTCTTTAACCTCATTGAGCACTGTCTCATTCTAGAAGTAACAGTCATCAAAGACAGGTACAGGACCTACATTAAATTTTTTTTTAATTTAATTAAATTGTGTGTGTGTGTGTGTGTGTGTGTGTGTGTGTGTGTGTGTGTTCAAGCATGCATAGAGTCAGAGGACAACTTTGTGGAGTCAGTTCTTTCCTGAGACTGTGGGTTCTGAGGATTGAACTCAAGTCTTCAGTCTTGTGTGGCAAGCAACCTACATTTTTACAAAGTGTTTGTTTGTTTGTTTTGAGACAGGGTCTTGCTGTAGCCCCAGCTGACCTGGAACTCACTATGTAGACCAGGCTGGGCTTGAACTCACAGAGATCTGCCGCCTCTGCCTCAGAGTGCTGGAATTAAAGGTGTGTGCCACCACCCCAGTTTTACAAAGTATTTTTACAAGGTATTCTTGGAATGACCCTTTTAGTGTGATACTTTCAGAGATTTTTTCCCCCCATGAGGAGGAATGGAATCATAAAATGAAGAGGCCATTTGTCCTCCTGTGAGAACACAGAGCCCAGGTTTGAGCCCAGGTTTGGAAGGAAAGCATGCCGGTTCATATTCACTGTATGGTTATTGTGCCCAAGGTGAAGCCCAGGCTTCATAGTGTGGCAGTTGGATATGTAGGAGAATGACTTCCATTAGTTCTGGCTGGAAGGTGGTATACTCCATAAGTGTACTTACCACAATATTTAATTCACTGCCAATCAGTTGTGCCTACATGTCGTAAAGTAAAACAGAGATGGGGTTGTGGACTCTCCAGTAAGAGATGGACAGCCTAAAATAAGATCATTATATTATAGATTATAATATATTATCCTATTGGGCCAGTGAGATGGTCAGTGTTGTCATGCCAGAAACTTCTTACACACTATCTGAGTCAATAGACAATGGCCATATTCTCCCAACCCAACCTACCTACCTGAATCTGGAACCTTCCTAATCTGCATCTTGCTATGCAAAAATCATTTGGTGCCTCTGAGGCCCAAACTGCACTCTCTTCAAGAGTATCGTTTGATAGTGCTTGTGTGGGTTGTTGGTGTACAAAGACATAAAAGATGGTTATAAAAATAAATCTTGTTTTGCAACCCAGAACTCATTGTTCAGCATGAGTTTTGGTGCTTATAAGACACCACCTCACTGGCCCTCTTCCTTTCCTTTGTCTTTCTTGTGGTGCTGATGGTTTGGGATGTTTTGAGACAGTATTCTTGCTGTGTAATCCAGGCTGGTCTGAAACTCTCAGTCCTCCTGCCACTTCCTGCCAAATGTTGAGACTTTCAGGTGTTTGGCACCACACTGAGCTTTAGGATGGATGCATGCATGCATTAATGGATGGGTAGGCAGGTGAGTGGATGGGTGGGTGGGTGGATGGATGGATGGATGGTTGGATGGATGCGTGGATGGATGGGTGGGTGGGTGGATGGATGGGTGGATAGATGAATGGATGCATAGATGGGTGGGTGGATGGATGGGTGGGTGGGTGGATGAATGAATGGATGGGTGGGTGAATGAATGGATGGGTAGATGGCTGAATGGGTGTATGGATGATTTAGCAGGTGTATTGGCAGGTTGCAGTAGTCTGGTGTTCCCAAGCTGGTGGAACTGGAGGTAGTCTTCAGGCCTGGCCTCTCTATGGTCCTGTCATTGGTTGCTTTCTTAGGACTCGAGCTGTGGATCATCCACATGACCCAGCTCTCCTACTCTGGATATTTATCAAAGCAGTCTCAACAGACCAGAGAGATACTTGCACACCAGTGTTTAGTGCAACACTGTTCACAATAACTAAGTTATGGAACTAAGAGGATTGGATAGAGAAAATGTGATAGGTATGTAATGGAATTCATTTCATCCATAAAGATAATTGAAATTACATCATTTTCAGGAAAATTGACCCAACTCCAGATAATCCTACTTTTTGTTGCTGTTGTTTGGCTTTTTGAGACAGGGTCCCCTTGCGGCCCCAGCTGTCCTGGAACTTGCTATGTAGACCAGGCTGGTCTCAGTCTCACAGAGATCTGCCTGCCTCTGCCTCTGCCTACTAAGTGCCACAACACCTGGCCAAGATAATCATATTCTTTTAATTTAGTCTTTAGTTAACATATAAAATATTAGTCTTATCATGGTGTTTTTCAAAGAAAACTTGCTTGTGTCAATTTTCTCCCTTTCCCTCCCCTCCCCATCCTCTCTGTACCCCCTCAGCCTCTTTTCTCCTCTCACACCCCACACACCCTACTGCCCTCCCCCACTTCCTCAGCCTCTCTATTTCCATTCTCCCAGGATCCTTTCTAAGCCCATAACCTATATCCATGTCACACCTGCATGTGCACATATATACAGAAGTGTATATATATGTATATGTGTATAATGTAATATACACACACACATATATATATATATACACACACACACATTAAAAGCTAGGATCTGCATATGGCCAGGCTCAGAAAGACACATATGTTTTCTCTCATGTGGATCCTAGATAGTATATAGAAATATAAAATCACATGTGACAGGAAATTCCTAGTAAAACTAGGGGACAGAGGGGCAACATGGTAGAGAAATATGCACAATATACAATGTATACTTGTATGAAAAGCTGTGAAAAATAAATAAATAAATAATTTAAAACAAAATATCCATGGAAGAACACTGAGTTCTTGAGAGCTACTAACTTTAGGAGGTATCTATGCCAACAAACATTAGCAGGACTGTACTAACAGAGGTAACTGTACTGACATTAGAGGAAACCCTACTGACATTCGAGGTAACCCTACTGACATTAGAGGTAACCTTACTACATTCGAGGTAACCCTACTGACATTCGAGGTAACCCTACTGACATTAGAGGTAACCTTACTACATTCGAGGTAACCCTACTGACATTCGAGGTAACCCTACTGACATTAGAGGTAACCCTACTGACATTCGAGGTAACCCTACTGACATTCGAGGTAACCCTACTGACATTTGAGGTTAACCCTACTGACATTCAAGGTAACCTTACTACATTCGAGGTAACCCTACTGACATTTGAGGTAACCCTACTGACGTTTGAGGTAAACTTACTTATTATACTGCATAAACTGAAATGGGGATGGCTTTGTGGATTCTCCAGTGATGGACAGCCTACAATGAGATCATTATATTAGAGATTATAATGTATCGTCCTACTGGGCTGGCAGTATTGTCAGTGGGCAAAACTGCTTGCCATGCCAGAAACTTCTCACATACCATCTGAATCAATAGGCAATTGCCATGTTCCTCCAACCCAACCTTCCTACCTGCATCTGGAGCCTTCCTACCTTAGTGCCCCTGAGAGCCAATTCCAATGGAATATTGTATTAAGTATGGAGTGCTTATAATACACAGTTAGTTTTTAATTAAAACTAATGAAGGTGCTGTCCTACACATCTAACTGCCACATTGAAAGCCCAGGGCTTCCCTTTGGGAACCAGGACCATACCTTGAGTAGGAACCAGGATGTTGTCCTTCTGTAAGCCACTAATCCCACACACCTATTTAAATTTAAATTTTTTATTACGTATATTCATTTATCTCTCTGTGTGTGTGTGCGTGTGTGTATACACAAGTGGCACGATGTTCTTGTGGAAGTCAGAGGAGTACTTGCAGGAGTCGGTTCTTTCCTTCCCTCATGTGGGTCGTAGGAATCAAACTCATGTCATCAGGGCTTGGCAGCAAGCTCTTTTACCCACTGAGTCAACTCGCCCTCCATATATTCCACAAGTTAGGGGTCGTCATATTGGACAGTGCAGAAAACAATTGGAGCAGTGCTAACTTAGGAAGGATCATTTTCTTCCTTTATCTTGAAATTTTCCCTTTCACAAAGTCTTCTCTGATACCCAAAACCAAATTACCTTCAGAGGAGTTAAAGCAATGTGTAACACAGTAAGTGGTGAACACACCCTCACAAGCATGTGTGTTATCAGATTTTCAGGGGTTTAATTTAGCATTTTAAATTTATTTAAAAATAATATTTTACAATTTATTTGGGGACGGCAGGTGCTCAAGTAACTTAACATGAATCTGGAGACCAGAAGACAACTTGAGGCACTCAGCTCTTTTTTTTCCACCATGTGGATCCTGTGATCCTCAAAGGGTCAATCTTGGCTACAAGTACTTTAACCCGCTGAGCCATCTCACCAACCTGTTTTTGTGTTTATGATGATTTTTCTGCTTACTGATTAACAGAAATTTTTCTATAATGTTGAAAGGGGTCCTTTGTGAACTGAAAAATAGTGATGGGGAAATTACACGGAAAACACCTGGGAAAGAGAAAGAGATTTTAGTGGGAAAGTGATAGAGCTTAAGAGCACACCATCTCAAAATAAGTTGCCATGCCTCCTTGGTGTGTTGACTATTTCAGGATAAACTGCCTGAGGAGCATGGCCTTGTGGGAAGGGCCGTCTGGCCTGCCTGTCCTACGTGCAGCTATGAAGAGTCTTTGGGGAGGAGGTTGACCTCCCCACACACCAAGGCTGAGACAAAGCCTTGATCACCAGAGCCAGGTGACTGGGGCTTCCCTGAACCTGAGTAAGCACTGAAGGCCCCCTTATCTTCCCCCAGCCCAACAGACAGCCTCGTATATCTCTTTGCAACAGCCTGGAGTTGACTCCCCCCTAGCACAGACACTCATGTGTCTCCTGGTTCCTTCTCAAACTTACGGTGCTTAGAAATGTGTAGAGGCACTCTGCCTTGGACTCACACTCTGTTGAAACCCCCGTGGATGTGCAAAATGAATGCAAGTTTAATGCTGTCCTCCTCTTAATTAGCTATTGTATGAACTAAGTCCCTAGATCCAACCAAACAGCCCTAAGAACTGACTAGAGAGAAAATCTCTGTGTGTCTGTTTTCCTCCCTCCCTCTTTCTCTCTGTTCTCTCTCCTTCCCTTTGTCTGTCTGTCTTTGTCTCTGTCTCTCTGTCTCTGTCCCTTTTTGGCTCTATCTCTGTCTCTCCCTCTCCCTTCTCTTTCTGCTTCTCTGTTTATGTCTCTTTCTCTCCCTCTCTGTCTCTCCCTCCCTCCCACTCTGTTTCTCCTTCCCTCTGTCTCTGTCTCTGTCTCTCTCTCTCTCTCTCTGTCTCTCTCTCTCTCTCTCTCTCTCTCTCATGAAATTAAGGGATGTAGAGGTGTTGTGTGGTCTTCTGGGGAGATATGAACTAACACCCACTCTCCCCAAATGGGCACCAACTAGAGACCAAAGTGCAGTTCAATTTCACTTAAGTCCAGCTTGGCAAACGAATGAGTTTATTGGGTTTACTTGCAGGTGCATTGTTAGGGGGTTATTTACAGGAACATAGGTAACCCCCCCCCAGACAGCTGTATCAACAGAAAGTCTCCCCCAGTACAGGCAACAGCTTCCCCATATCTGCAGAGATATGAGCCCCCCTTCAGTTAGCCTTCCCTCTGTGTACTCTAGCACCCGGCCCAGAGCCCCTGAGACCACAGGCACCTGGGTCAGAAGTTCAACAACTAGGTGCAGGAGGGAGGGGCCAGGGTCTCAGGTGAGGCCAGCTAATGTCCTTTCCCAGCCCCTCTTCCTTTGAGGGACTGTCAACAGGCCCCTATCTTGAGGGTCTCTTGGAGTCACAGCTGCTCTGACTAACATGGGTCTGGTGGTTGTGCCCTAAGGACGGTCCACAACAGGAAGACAGAATATATTTGACTCTTAGTTGCAAGGGAGAGAACCTGGCCTTACCTGAGTTCAAATGGGTCCAGTTATGGGTGAGGGAGAGGGGATTACTGATTGAGGGCCTCCTGGCTACAAGTATTCAAAGCCTGTGCTTAAATGCTTCTGTTTATTTTTATTGAAATAGGATCTCATATAGCCCATGCTAACTTCAAACTCACTATGTAGCTGAGGATGACCTTGAACTCTTGATTGTCCTGCCTCCACCTCCCAGGTGCTGGGATTACAGGTGTGTGCCACCTTGCCCAGCTTATACAGCTCTGGGAGTGGAGCCCAGAGCTTCCTGTGGGGCAGGCAAGCACTCTACACACAGAGCTAGACTCCAAGGCCATATTGCCCTCTGTTTGCTTTATTTCCAGCTGACCTCGTTCTCAGACAGGATCTCCCCACCCTGAAATGGGGTGACCCCTGGTAGGTACAGGCTTTACAACAT